TGTAATAACCCGACCCTCTTATATGTTTTCTGATATGCTTTTAGTCCCTTACTATGTGCATTTGCATGTTTAATGTAAAAATTTCATGTGAAATTAAGTTTAATTGTGTGAATCATATGACTATGGATTTATATCTGGCAATTATGAGAAATATCTGTTACGATTGTGGCGTTTGGATCAGTAATTGGAAGCCTTACAAGTAGGATAATCTGAAATTGACTTCATAATAGTGATGGGTATGATTTTTAGGTCATAATAAGAATTTTTGTAAAAATCTGATTCGGAATGATTAAACTGATTAAATTCTTGTGTTAATTCTTATATAACTCTTATATACCTCTTTTAAGCTCCTAACTTAGAAAACTCATCACAAAATAAAAAAAATATCTCCTAAGAGGAGAGAGAGAGAGTTAGAGAGGAAGATCAAAAGGAGAAGCTTCAACAAGAGGGAACATTGAAGAATTAAGAAAGATTTTGGTGATTCGAGCTCAAGGTCACATACGGGAAGGAACTGCCCCTTCACCACAGCACTGTGAGTAATAGTATTGTAGTAATATGTTTCATTACTGCTAATCGATATTATTGGCATCTTGTTATCTATGAATGAACCATGTTCCAAAATGATGAACAATTGGAAAGTATGTGTGACATCGCATAATAAAATCCTTATGGACCTAAGGTCGTTCTGTTTTGGCAATGCTAGGCCCTAGGCCGTTCTGATATGATTTACATCTTAATGGCAGCCATATGGCTAAGAGAGGTGATGACATGCCGATGTTTCACCGATTTTGATATGATTTGAACTGATTACGATTCATGGCATAAGGCCAAGGGAGGTAGTGTACATGTCGATGTTCTACCTATCCTCCAATGCTCTGAACAACTGTTAATCTGTTGGGCCTGAGGTCATTCTGTATAATATGATGGGCCTGAGGCTGTTCTGCATGATGTTGGGCCCAAGGCCATTTGGAAATGAAAGCAGAAAAAGAACAAACATATGTTTTATGTACTCACCTACTGTGTGATTCATGTTTATTCACTTAAATTACCTACATGCTATTATTCACTGAGCCCGGCTCATGCTTTGTTATGTCTGTCTCTGTAGGTAATTAGCTCGGAGGTCAGTCCTAGTCCATCCTTAGCAGCTTTTCTTTTGTCAACCCCCGCGGTGGCCAAGCAATTAAATCAAGCTCATTCTTTTTGCGGAATCCCTTTCATAGTTTATAACTGTGGTCATTAGCCTTTCGTCAAATGTTGCTAATCATGTATATCCTTCACTCCTGACGTTTAAGTTATACCCCAGTCGTAGGGAATGGGACTGTATATATATATGTGTGTATGTGTGTAACTGCCTCATATAGTTATGCTCATTGTGCGTTGGGCTATTTGATGAAATGTTTTGTGATCTTGGCATATAAGCATTAGCTCAATAGATGTTGTTTTAAGTTGATTGTTGCTTCCATTTAGGTCCCATATTATACATATATATATATATATTGAATTCTGGATCCGTTATCGAGTTTGTCATGCCCAAACTTTTAGGGGTGAGTTTGGGGTGTGACAAGTGGTATCAGAGCACAAGTTGCTATCTCACACACGAATCCATTGAGCCTTAGGATGTCTAGAAAAGACTTAGGCATCATGCATGACGTTTTTGGTGCATATGAAATGATTGATAGCAACGTGATTTGTATCTGTAATATCTGCTAACAAGCATTTTGCAATGGTTATTATCTATGTCTATTTGTATATCTCTTGTGCATATTATAATTGATTGTTATGTAGAATATGGTGAGAACAATGATGGGAGATTCGGAGGACTCTACCTCTACCCGGCTAGACAGGATGGAAAGAATGATTATGGAAATGGCGGAGACTTTACGACAACAACAACAGCCACAGCCATAGCCGCCCCCGCCATCGGTACCTCCGCCTGTAGTACAAGATTATCATGTTGAGGACCGAACCATCACTCTTACGAAGGAATTCAAGAAGATGAAGCCACCAACCTTTAAAGGGGGAATTGATCCGATGAAAGCTGAGGCCTGGGTGTTGGGTGTGGAGAAGTTATTTGAGGTATTTCCATGCACTGAAGCTCAGAAGGTATAATTGGCTGCTTTTACTCTGGAAGACGAAGCTCATAGGTGGTGGATGCTTACAAGAACTGAACATCAAGGGTTGACCTGGATCTGATTTCTGGAACTCTTCTATGACAAGTATTTTCCGTAGTGTATGCGAGATAAAAAGTTGACTGAATTTGAGACTCTCAGACAAGGGAACAAGACTGTTGCCGAGTACAAAGCCCAATTTGCAGAATTAGCCCGGTTTGCACCTCATATGGTGGATACAGAGTATAAGAAGGCGAGAAAGTTCGAGGAGGGACTATGAAATGCTATCATTGATCGGATCAATGTGTTGAAACTACCCACCTATGTTGAGGTGTTAGAGAGAGCTGTCATAGTGGAGGGCAATATTGCCACTCATAATCGGATTTCCGACTGGAAGGGGAAAAGGAAGAATATTCAATCATCAAAGGGGACAACAATTCCTCCAAGCAAGAAACAGAATTTAGGAACCTTAAGTGCTTTCACTCATACTCGAGACTCAGCTTCAATTTGTTCAGTCTGTGGAAGGAAGCATCAAGGAACTTGCCATCGGTTAACTAGGGCGTGTTTCAGGTGTGGTAAAACGGGTCATCTGGTAAAGGATTGTCCTCAAAAAGATCAGCGAAATGGGAATAGAACTACTGTAAGTTCTGCAGGTTCAACACCAGCTCCAAGTACAAAGTCAGCTATAAAGCCTACCAATAATAAAGACACCGCTAGACAAGGAAGAGTGTTTACATTGGTTCCGGGTGGCTTGCAAAATGCTGCAACAGTGGTGTCATCTATAATTACTGTTCACGGTTATTCTGCTTATGTGTTGTTTGATTCTGGTTCTACCCACTCTTTTGTGTCAAAAATGTTTGTCCGAAATTTAGATAAAACTGTGGAATTATTACCCTATGTACTGTGTGTGTCTACACCCTTAGGAAATTCTATGATTTGTACTTCCGTTTATTTTGCTTGTAAACTCCTAATTGGGGAGGCTCAGACATATGCCACCTTGCTACCACTTGACATGACTCATTTCAACATTATTCTGGGAATGAACTGGTTAAATGAGTACCAAGCGACTATTGATTGTGCGGCTAAGAAAATTAGTTTCCACCCTCCGGGGCAGTCATAATTCACTTATAAGGGGCATGAAGTGATCTCTCCACCTTTTCTAATTTCAATAGTGAAAGCATACAAACTGTTACAGAAAGGGTGTTAGGGATATTTGTGCAGTGTTTTGGAGGGACAAATAATGAATATGGGTACTGATATGATTCCAGTTGTTTGTGAATTTTTAGATGTCTTTCCGGAGGAGTTACCAAGGGAGTTAGTAGACCGTGAAATTGAGTTTACAATTGAAGTGGTACCGGGAACTCAACCCATTGCTAAAACCCCGTATAGGATGTCACTAGTTGAGATGAAAGAATTAAAGATTCAATTACAAGATCTACTTGATAAAGGGTTCATTCACCCAAGCGTTTCTCCTTGGGGTGCACCAATCCTATTTGTGAAAAAGAAAGATGGAACACTTCGACTGTGTGTGGACTACAGTGAGCTTAACAAAGTGACAATCAAGAATAAGTACCCACTGGGTAGGATTGATGATTTGTTTGATCAGCTACAAAGAGCGCAAGTCTTCTCAAAAATTGATTTACGGTCTGGATAGCACCAACTAAAGGTCAAAGTTGATGATGTTGAGAAAACAGCTTTTCGAACTCGATACGGTCATTATGAATTTTTGGTTATGCCCTTTGGAGTTACCAATGCACCAGCGCTGTTTATGGATTTAATGAACCGTGTCTTAAAGCCATACTTGGATGAATTTGTAGTGGTGTTTATCGATGACATTCTTATTTATTCGAAAGACACCGAAGATCATAATAATCATCTCAGGTGAAGTCTTCAGATGCTTCGAGATAAGAAATTGTATGCAAAGCTGAAGAAATGTGAGTTTTGGTTACATGAAGTGGGGTTTCTGGGACATGTGATATCAAAGGAAGGTGTATCTGTTGATCCACACAAGATTGAAACAATTGTAAACTGGCCAACTCCTACTAATGTGACTGAGGTGCGTAGTTTTTTGGGATTAGTTGGGTACTACCGGCGATTTGTAAAGGATTTTTCCAAAATTGCCATGCCACTTACCCAATTGACTCAGAACGGAGTTCTGTTTGAGTGGTCGAAACAGCGGGAATCTGCCTTTCAAGAATTAAAAACAAAGTTAACTACAACACCAGTTCTTGCTTTACCATCTGGCACTGAAGGATTCGTGATCTACAGTGATGCTTCCTATAAGGGACTAGGCTGTGTACTTATGCAAAATGGGAGAGTCATCGCTTATGCTTCCCGACAACTTAAACCCCATGAAAAGAGCTACCCCACATAGGATCTTGAGTTGGCAGCGGTGATCTTTGCTCTGAAGCTATGGCGACATTATTTGTATGGTACTACATGTGAAGTCTATACCGATCATAAGAGCCTTAAGCAGCTTTTCACCCAAAAGGAGTTAATAATGTGTCAGCGACGATAGTTAGAACTTATTAAGGAGTATGACTTGCAAATCCATTACCGTCCTAGTAAAGCCAATACAGTTGCACATGCACTTAGTCGGAAGGGCGTGCGAAACTTGGAAAATTTGATTACGGGACGAAAGGAGTTGTCATTTGAATTGGAAAGGATGAATGTAGAGATTGTGGTGCATGAACGGGATACTATGATAGCAACCATAATAGTCCAACCAACGTTAATCGAAGAAATTAAACAACGACAGATGGAAGATGAATCTTTGAAGAAGATCTGTGATGAGTTAGCGACAAAACCAAGACCCGAATTCAATTTTGTCAATTCGGTGCTCAAGTTTCAAAACCGATTGTGTGTTCCCAATATACCAGGGATTAAGAAGAATTTGATGGAAGAAGCTCATGCCTCAAACTTTTCAATACATCCCGGGAGTACTAAGATGTATCGAGATTTAAACAAAAATTTTTGGTGGCCAACTATGAAGAGGGAAATTGCTGAATTCGTCTCAAAATGTTTGCAGTGTCAACAAGTAAAGGCAGAGCATCAGAAACCGGTAGGGTTGATGCAACCCCTTCCAATTCCGGAGTGGAAGTGGGAACATTTGACCATGGACTTCATTGTAGGTTTACCACGGACTTTTCGGGGTATGAACTCTATATGGGTCATTGTAGACTGGTTAACTAAATCTGCCGATTTCTTACCCGTGATACTCAGTATAACGTGGATAAACTTGCTGTGATATATGCGAAGGAAATTGTAAGACTTCATGGTGTTCCAGTCTCAATTGTATCAGACAGGGATCCGAAATTTGTGTCGAGGTTTTGGTAGAGTTTACAGAATGCAATGGGTACAGAGTTAAAGTTTAGTACAACTTTTCACCCTCAGACAGATAGGCAATCCGAGAGGACAATACAAACCTTAGAGGATATGCTTCGAATGTGTGTTCTGGACTTTCAGGGGAGCTGGGAAACTCATTTACCATTGGCAGAGTTCGTGTACAATAATAGTTACCATTCAAGTATTAGAATGGCACCTTATGAAGCCTTATATGGAAGACCATGTTGCTCCCCCGTGTGTTGGGCTGAAGTCGGAGATAAATCCTTGTTATGGCCTGAAATTGTACAGTTGACGACAAAAGATTAAAACTATTCGGGATAGATTGAAAACTGCTCAAAGTAGACAAAAGAGTTATGCGGATAACCGGCGAAGAGATTTGGAATTTGAGGTGGGTAACCATGTGTTTGTGAAGGTCACTCCGATGAAGGGCCACCTCAGATTCGAAAAAAAGGGGTAAGTTAACGCCCCGATATATAGGTCCATTCCAAGTTCTGGAGAAAGTGGGTTCTGTAGCTTATCGAGTTGCTCTTCCTCCAAGTATGGGTCAAGTGCATAATGTATTTCATGTATCTATGTTACGGGGATATCTTCGAGATCCATTTCATGTCATAGATTACCATCAAATTGTGTTGAATGATACGTTAACCTATGAACAAAAGCCAATTCGGATTTTAAATCGGCAAGTAAAGCAGCTACAGAATCGAGGAATCCCAATGATAAAAGTTGAATGGCAGGAACATTACGGGACCAAAGCTACTTGGGAAAAAGAAGAGGAAATGCGGCACCAATATCCGGAGTTGTTCCTATCGTGAGGTAAAACAAGTTTGAGGGCCAAACTTATTTAAGGGGGGGGGGAGAGTGTAATAACCCGACCCTCTTATATGTTTTATGATATGCTTTTAGTCCCTTACTATGTGCATTTGCATGTTTAATTGAAAAATTTCATGTGAAATTAATTTTAATTGTGTAAATCATATGATTATGGATTTATATCTAGCAACTACGAGAAATATCTATTAGGATTGTGGCGTTTGGATCAGTAATTAGAAGCCTTAGAAGTAGGATAATCTGAAATTGACTTCATAATAGTGATGGGTATGATTTTTAGGTCATAATAAGAATTTTTGTAAAAATCTGATTTGGAATGATTAAACTGATTAAATTCTTGTGTTAATTCTTATATAACTCTTATATATCTCTTTTAAGCTCCTAACTTAGAAAACTCATCACAAAATAAAAAAAATATCTCCTGAGAGGAGAGAGAGAGAGAGAGAGAGAGAGTTAGAGAGGGAAATCAAAAGGAGAAGCTTCAACAAGATGGAACATTGAAGAATTGAGAAAGATTTTGGTGATTCGAGCTCAAGGTCACATACGGGAAGGAACCGCCGCTTCACCACAGCACTGTGAGTAATGGTATTGTAGTAATATGTTTCATTACTGCCAATCGATATTATTGGCATCTTGTTATCTATGAATGAACCATGTTCCAAAATGATGAACAATTGGAAAGTATGTGTGACATCGCATAATAAAATCCTTATGGACCTAAGGTCGTTCTGTCCATAAGGCTAAGAGAGGTGATGACATGCCGATGTTTTGCCGATTTTGATATGATTTGAACTGATTACGATTCATGGCATAAGGCCAAGGGAGGTAGTGTACATGTCGACGTTCTACCTACCCTCCAATGCTCTGAATAGCTGTTAATCTATTGGGCCTAAGGCCGTTCTGCATGATGTTGGGCCCAAGGCCGTTTGGAAATGAAAGCAGAAAAAGAACAAACATATGTTTATGTACTCACCTACTGTATGATTCATGTTTATTCACTTAAATTACCTACATGCTATTATTCACTGAGCCTGGCTCACACTTCGTTATGTCTATGTCTGTAGGTAATCAGCTCGGAGGTCAGTCCTAGTCCAGCCTTAGCAGCTTTTCTTTTGTCAACCCCCGTGGTGTCCAAGCAATGAAATCAAGCTCATTCTTTTTGTGGAATCCCTTTCATAGTTTATAACTGTGGTCACTAGCCTTTTGTCAAATGTTGCTAATCATGTATATCCTTCACTCCCGACGTTTAAGTTATACCCCAATTGTGGGGAATGGGACTGTATATATATATATATATATGTGTGTGTGTGTGTGTGTGTGTGTGTTTGTGTGTAACTGCCTCTTATGGGTATGCTCATTGTGCGTTGGGTTATTTGATGAAATGTTTTGTGATCCTGGCATATAAGCATTAGCTCAATGGATGTTGTTTTAAGTTGATTGTTGCTTCCATTCAGACCCCATATTATGTATATATATATATATATGTATTGAATTCTGGATCCGTTATCGAGTTAGTCATGCCTAAACTTTTAGGGGCCAGTTTGGGGTGTGACATGACCTGTTTTGGCTCTGTTTTGGGTTGGTTAATTCAGTTGAGGCTTGTATTGCATAGTTGTAGGGTTAATTCCTTCACTAGCTTAGTGGTTTAATGCTTTGGTCATCATTGTTTTAAGTTAAAAGCATGTTTTAGTATTGTTTTGCACTCCATTTCAGCACTTTAATCTCTGCAACCTCGCTCCATTCTTCACTCTTTTGTTTGCTTTGAAAGTGGTTTCAAACCACTTGTTTGCCTAAGTGTGGAATTGAGGTATTGCACCTAATGATTTAATCCCTTAGGGGGTTCATTACCAACAGTGTAATGACACTTTCATACCCAAAGACACTCGGTGTTTGAGCCATCTTTCCAATAGAGGACACTTACTTTTGGACTTAATCGATTAAAGAATGAATCGGTAATGTAAAACGAGTAAAAAAAAATGACAAGTAAAAGTATGAAAGATAAGCATTCTTTGTGTTACATTGCATGTGTTCAAACTGGATATTAGTTTGAACACAAGGAGAATGGGACATTTCATACTCAAAAGTGATGAAATGTGCCATTTTCCTTGCTCTCCATTGCCCTTGATCATGCAGGATAGGGTGGTGGCCATTCGAGTCTTATTTGTGCATTTATCGAAATTGTATAACTTGGATCTTTAGCCACCATGCAATGAAATTTCTTGATTGGTGGTTTTGGATCCAAGTGTGCCACTCCTTTGAGGTTTTGAGATGATAAGGAGGGGTACAGTACAAGCAAACCCTTGAAAAAACCTTCATTTTCCTCTGTTTGTGCTCTGTTGCGGTGTGGTGACCCAGAGCATCAGTGGCCGACTAGGCTTCATTTTTGGCCGGCAAGGCACCTTTTTGGCCAGCAGAGGGTCGGCAGTAACCATCCATGGCTAGCAGGCCACAGATGTAACCCTCAGCAAATATTTTGTAAGTTGGAGCAGAAAGATCCTGGAATGTGCTCAACCATACAGACAGAGCCTTCGAGAGCAAAATGGAGGGCTTTTCGGGGTGAAAATCGAGTGCATGCATCTTCCACTTCTCGAGGCGGAACAGTGGCAGCATAGTTTAGTGCCTTGCATGATTAGTTAGTGTGCATTTGTTTTAATTAATTAGTTTACTAGTTGATTAAAGTGTTGTAATAATTAATAATTAGTTTGCTAGTTGTTCATTTGATCTGTAATAATTAGTTTAATTAGTTTAGTCTAATTAGTTTAATTAGATTAGATTAGCTTAGCTTAGATCAGCTTAGCTCTTATTCATTTGGACCTTCCTTCGCGAGAGCATAATGTTGTAATAAGTATGTGTGAGTGTGTGTATGTCTTCCAATCCCATGTCTTTCTTCCTTTTATTTAATCGCTTTTGATGGTTATATTAGGGACATTTTCAATTAGCATATTGCATGCTTGCATCCATTCATCCTGTTTTACATGCACCGGGGCTCGACTCATCATTCAAACTACATTGCAATTACAATAACTTATCTGAATACCTGTTTAATAGAATTTTGTTCAAATCAATTCATATGCCATATTAGTAGTCGAGCCTATTAATTGCATTATTGCATACGTTGCATTAGGCATCTTGTATAGTTAGGATCATGCATCTTTCTAACTAGTTTTTGTTTTGGCTTGGAGTATTCGGTGAGTTTTATGCTTATACTTGCATGAGTGTGATTGCCATATTGCCATGATTCGCATGCTTGCCATGAGGCTATGTGCTTAAATGATTAACTGCATGAATGTCTGTGGATGAAGGTGTGGACTCGACTTTCTTTGCGCCCCTCTTTGGAGTGGCTCGAATTGGTCTCCTACAGTTCGGACTCCTGTCACGATTCTGAATCTAGTCTCACAAAGTGCAATGTGAAACTGATAAACACCAAAAAGTGCAATCCGGCAAATCATTTTGGAAAATTGATTTTAGATCAAATAATGCCAAAACTGGACTGTTTTGCCAGATTACAGAGTTGCCACCTAAATATTTTATGTTTGGGAAATTTAGGAAACCCTGACTCGTGCCAAAGGCCGCGTGTAATAACCCAACCCTCGTATGTGTTCCCGATATATTTTCAGTCCCTCATTATGCGTATTTATATGCTTATTATGAAATGCCACGTGGAATTAAGTTTAAGTAAGTGAACCTTATGACTATGGATTCATATCTGTTGAATAAGGAGACACGTGGGTTCATTTTTGACATTTTTATTGGTATGTTTGGAACCTCCTCATTTTATTTTGGGGTGTTGCTTGAGGTGGTAATATGATGGTAAAGTAAGATTGGACCAAAAACTTTAATTCGAATAATTCGTCTACGATCAGCTGGCGCTCTTTTGCCTTTTTCTTTTTCTACACTTTGAATTTGGATGTGAGGTTAGAACCATTAGAAAGCTTATCTCCGAGGCTTCAATTTGACCACAAGAATGACCTAAAATGAA